TTTCTGTGATAGATCACTGAGTATTGTAGACTCTAAATTCATCCAAGTTGCTGTGGAAGTCCATGTATTTGTCCTTATTTATGGCAATGTAATATTCCATCATGTATATGTACCACATTTTTTAAATCCAGTCCAGTTTCATTGGGCAGCATGGTTGGTTCCATGTTTTTGCATCTTTTTTGTAGAGTGGGTATATTTCCAATAGGGGGATTGCTGTGTCCTATGGAAGGTCAGTATCTAGTTCTTTTAGAAGTCCCCATCCTGTTTTCCATAGAGGTTGAACTAGTTTGGATTCCCACCAGCAGTGTACAAGCGTTCCCTTTTCTCTACATCCTCGCCAGCATCAGTTGTTGTTTGTTTTATTAATGATGGCCATTCTTACTGGGGTTAGGTAGCTTCTCAATGTGGTTCTGATTTGTATTTCTCTGATGATTTGTGAGGTTGAGCACTTTTTCATGTGTCTGTTGGTTGTCCGTATATGTTCTTTTGAGAAGTGTCCATTCATGTTTTTTGTCCACTTTATTTTTTTCAGTTAGAGTCACACTCCGTCACCCAGGCTGGAGTGCAGTGGCATGCCCACGGCCACCCCAGCATAGACCTCCTGGGCTCCGGCAGTCCTTCCGTCTCAGCCTTCCAAGTAACTGGAACTACAGGCGTGCGCTACCACGCCCAGCTAATTTTTTATTTACTGTAGAGATGAGGTCTTGCCAAGTTGCCCAGGCGGGTCTCGAACCCACGGGCTCAGGCAATCCACTCACCTCAGTCTCACAAGGCATGGGATTACAGACTGAGCCACTGAGCCTGGCCTGGGGCTTTTTTTAATATATAGTTTTCTTATGATGAAGTCAATTTCTAGGGTGGTTATTGGTCTACTTAGTATCTCAGCATCTTCTTGTTTCAACCTTGGGATGTTGTTTGATGTCAGAAAGTCCTCTATTTCATTTAAGTTGTCAAGTTTGTTTCCATACAGGTGTGCATATCTTTTGTATTTCTTCAGGGTCAGTTGTGATTTGATCTTTTGCATTTCTCGTGTTTATTTGAGCTTTTTCTCTCTTTTTCTTGGTCATTCTGGCGAGGGGTCCATCAATCTTGTTTATTCTTTCAAAGAACAATTTTTGTTTTGTTGATTTTTTTTTCTATGATATTTATGTCTTCTGTGTTCTGTATTTAGGCTTTTACTTTGTTGATCTTGATCCTTCTGCTAAAGTTAGGGTTTTGGTGTTTTGGTGATCTTATCTTTCCAGTTCCCTTAGGTGATCTGTTAGTCTGTATAACTTGTGATCTTTCCACTTTCTTGATGTGTGCTCATAGAGATATAAATTCCCCTCTTAACTGAGTTTGTGGCATCCCAGAAGTTTTGGTAGAATGTTTCTTCATTTTCATTTTTTTCAATAATCTTTTAATTTCTGTTTTGATTTCTGTGTTGATCTAGTAGTTGTTTAGCATCATGTTGTTTAGTGTCCATGTCTTTCTGGGTTTGGGGGGAATTTTGTTGGCATTTATTTTTATTCCAGTGTGGTCTGAAAAGGTGCATGGCAGTATTTTGATCTTACGAAATGTACTTATGCTTGATTTATGGCCAAGGATGTGATCGATCTTGGAGTATGTTCCATGTGGTGATAAGTAGAATGTATATTCAGTGGTTGTTGGGTAGAGTATTGTGTAAGTATCTATTAAGTCCATTTGGTCAAGTATCATATTGAGGTTCCAGATCTCTTTGTTGATTTTTTGCCTTGATGATCTATCCAGGATTATTAGTGGGGGTATTTAAGTCTCCAGGTATAATGGTGTTAGAATCAAAATTTTTTTTAGTTTACTTTGTAGTTCCTTTATAAACTCAGGGGCTCCTGTGCTGGGTTCATAGATGTTTAGGATGGATACTTCTTGTTGGTGGGTTGATCATTATGCAGTGTTCTTCTGTATCTTTTTTATTTTTGATAGCTTAAAGGTTGTTTTGTCTGATAAAACCCTTTAAGAACCTCACATGAGGTTCTTAAAAGTTTTTTCTTTGTTTTCTTTTATCTTTTGGGTTGATGTATGTGTGTGTTTTCAAGTTTGCAGTCACAACATATTCTCTGTTGATTCTATTTTCTACTGTTCTCTTGGGAAGTGTGTGGTCTTTCTTTTTTTTCTTTTGTCTGTGTTTTACACCTTTTAAAGCGTCTCCTGCAGAGCTGGTCTGGAAGCTGCATAATCTCTTTGGGATTGGATATCTGGGTAGGATTTTAATTCTCCGTCACTGGTGAAGCTGAGCTTGGGTGGGTAGGAAGTTCATGGTTGAAGCTGTTTATCTTTGAGGTCTTTGAATATTGGATTCTAGTCCCTTTTAGCTTGTAGTGTTTCTGTCAATAGGTCTGCTGATATTCAGATTGGTTTTCCCCAGTAGGTAATCTGACCTTTCTCTCTTGCTACCTTTAGGATTTTTTTCTTTTGTGCCTACTTTGTGTTAGGTGAATTAGTATGTGTCTAGGGGTTGGTCTTCTCATTTGCTGTCTTGTAGGGGTTCCCTTTATCTCTTTTATGTGGATGATCATGTCTCTTATGAGATGGGAAAAGTTTTTTGGATAACCTCCTGGAATACTTGCTCCCAGGTGTTCTCCATTTCCTCCTCTTCTTCTGTAATACCAGTCATGTGTAGGTTCAGCCTCTTGATATAATCACACGTGTCTTGGAGACTTTGTTCTTTCTTTGTGAGTTTTCTTTCTATGTTTTTTATCGATTGGGCTAGTTCCATGTTTTGGTCTTCACATTCTGATATTCTTTCTTTTGCTTGATTATTTCTGCTTTCTATGTTTGTCATCTTGTTATTTTTTTCCTAGATGAAATTTTTTATGTCCAAAATCTCTATTACAAGTTGTTTCAGTGTTGCAACTTGTCTTTCTTACATTTTATTTACTCTTTCCATCCTTTCCTAATCTCTGTTGTATTCTGGGACCTGATGGTAACTTCTGTTGTTTGGACTCTGAAGATCTGATTTTCAGGCATTTTTTTCTTTGTTACATTGGGAATTACTTGTGTTCTTCCATTGATTTTTTTTTCCCTCATGTGACAGATCTTTTACTTTTATCTTTAGTTCCATTATTCAGTGGCAGTGGAGGAGGCCTTCACTTCTGATATTTGCTCAGCTCTCTTTTCTTTCCTGATTGGGGCTCTGAATTTGTTCTATTTTGAAACAGGGCTGAGGGTGGGAAGCTTTGCTGTCTCTTATAATTTTGAGAGTCGAATATGAAGGATGGGGAGCTTGGATTCAGAAATTACTTGCAAATCACTGTGTTCACTGGCTGTGGTACAAGTTCCCTAAGACTCACTCCCCACCACCACTCTATCTGTCGATGCAATGGGTACACGTATTTACCGCCTCAGTCCATGATACAGTAACAGCAATGAGGAGAACTAAGAAAGGTAGAATGAAATGAGATGGAAAAAAATTAAAATAAATAAATAAATAAAACACAGAACAACAAGAGCAGAAACGAAAGCAAAAAACAATTGAACACACACACACAAACACACACACACACCCAAACAAACTGGAATAACAACAAAGCAAAACAGAATAAAAAACGGCAACAAAAAACAGGAAATCGAAACACACACAGACACATGCCCTATCCAGAATGAAAGGAGAAGGAAAAATAAAAAGAGAAGAGAAGGAAAAAACAGGAATTCGTATCAAACCCTCACACATGTATTCACACACACTGAACTTAAAAAAAAAAAAGAAGAACAAAAAAGCAAAAACAGACAAACAAAAAATGGAAAGCTAAACGTTCAGTCCTTCATGTACTCAAATAAACCTAAACAAAAAAGAAAAGAAGAAAGAAGGAAAAAAAGGGTGGGTGAAGGGGGATACATATTGAACCCTCACGTGCACATTCATGCACAAAGGAAAAATCAATAAACTAAAAAAAACCAAAATCTTCCCTCTTGTGGCGGGTTCTGTAATTGTTCCTCTCTGCTACTCCTCTGCTGTCTCCTTCTGAGCTTTGGCTTCATACACAATCTTCCCAGTGTCTGGCCCAGGGAAGGAGGAGGGGGCAGTGGGGAGGTACAGGATTGTCTCTTCCCCAGGTATCTGTGGGGAGGTGTCCCAGCCAGGCTTATTCTGGAGTGGAGTCCTCCTATTGCAGCTGTTGTCCAGACTCCACCTTGGTCCAACACTCTTTTTTTTTTTTTTGAGTTGGAGTCTCACTCTGTCACCCAGACTGGAGTGAAGTGGCCGCTCCTGGCCACTGCAGCCTCGCCTGCTGGGCTCCGGCGATCCTTCCGCCTCAGCCTTCCAAGTAGCCGGAATTACAGGCGCATGCTACCACGCCCAGCTGATTTTTTGATTTATTGTAGAGATGAGGTCTCGCTGCCCAGGCGGGTCTCGAACCCGCGGGCTCAGGCAATCCACTCACCTCAGCCTCCCAAAGGCGCGGGATTACAGGCTGAGCCACCGAGCCCGGCTAACACTCTTAATGGTTCCCCAGACATGTGGGTCTTACATTCAGAGGATTGCTGGGGAGGAAGGGGTTGAGTCAGCCCTGAACTCACCACTGATATCTTTGGAAGTTTTCCTCATTGTTTTCCAGCCATACCCTTTGCCCCATGGCTAAATCAGGGTAGGGCGTGGGGAGCCTGAGACTAAGCACTTGTCCTGTCCCACTGGAATTTGTAGTTTTGAGATAGTCCCTCTCAGTCACGTTTAACCCCTGAGTAGTTAATCCACTGGTCACAGAGGTCAGGTCAGGTCTGGTGAGCAATCTGGAGCACTTTAGAGATAGTGATAGGGTGCCTCCTTTGCCTACTCCAGTGGGCCTCTTCTTCTGGCCTCCGTCACTGTGCTCCTTCTGCAGCCCTTGTTGCCAGAGTCTGGCCAGGCGTTGCAATGGTGAGGCAGAGCTTGGAGCCAGCAGTCTCTCCTGGAAGTCTCTTCCCAGGAAGGGCTTTGTTGATTTTTTAAAAATGGTGCGTGGCTTCTGTGCCCCAGGAAGCACTAGGGTCCAAGAAGACCACCAGCCACCTAACTGGGAGAGCACTGGCCACTTACTCCCAAGTCCCTGTGCAGTCAGCCACTCATATGCCCACTTACTCACCAACACGTGCAGAATTTTCCATACTCTCACTCACTCACACTGGGACTCACTTAGTCCGACTGGGTCTGCTACCATCTTCCTAACAATTCCTGCCATCTTTTCTGTTTAACCCATGAAGAGGGGTCAGCAAGCAACACAACGGAAATCTCTGTATTGGTAAAGCTGAAAATATGTTTATTACTTTCAGCTGAATTATTTGACTACTCAGACTATTTAATCTTTATGGAATTGAAGTAAAGCCAAATTTCTTACATTTTGTGAATGTCCTTTTCTATTTGTAATTATTTCCTGTATCTCCTGAGTGAAATTACCGTATCATTTAGAAGTTTGTGCGTTTGTGAATTGCAGTGGCGATGGATCCAAAGTAGTTTCACAGCATGGGTTTTGCCCTGATATCGTTTTTTAAAGCAGAAAGATCAAAATCTCGTATTTAAAAACGTTAGTGACTGACTAAATTTCTGACGCTCTCAGTCTATAAACAGATAACTAACTTCAGGTTTGTGAACTACCACCACTGCCCAGCCCCCGTAGTCCATTTATTTAATATGCTGCATCAGTGCTAGGTCATGATGATATCTGAGGTTTGCTATTCAGAAATTTGTTTTATTGAGAAGTTCTGGCATCAAGTGGGATAGTTAGAAATGATACTAAAATACTTAGACCAGGATATCATAAATCAGTGTGTTCCAAACTCAGATGAAATTTATGTTTTAGTTCTTAGATATTTTTATCACAAATTCATTTACACTGAGTTGTTTGTCATTTTAGTTACAATGTGATCATGATGTTTGTTTCCGTATATTGTCTGCCTAATATATGTAGTTGTATTAACTCTTTATTAATAATTTATCATCAAAAATCCAAGTGAACATATTAAAGTATATTGTTACGAATTATATCAGCCAGATACATTTTAACATTCATTCTCCCTAAGTGTTTTCTCTTTTCACATACTTGAACAAGAAATATACTCCCACATTTTCTTTTCATTTTTTAAGACATTTATTGATTTCCTTTAGTTAAATAGTAATGAAAATTTCTAATAGAACATTAGGCTCTATTTTTCTTAAGAATGCTTTGTTATGATAAAAGTCATATCTATAGGTTGGGGAAACATATTTTGAAGAATTGCTTATGTTTTCTTTTTATTTGTAGTATATCTCTGTACCGGGGTAACTGCAGGCCCATACGATTTGAACCACCAATGCTGGATTTCCATGAACAGTAAGTTTTAAATTTGGGGGTTATATTTTCCCATTAAACTGTTATATGTATTGTGCATGCATTTGTCTTGCCTTTTGCCTGTATTATGTCTGTATGAGAAAATTACATGTTCTCATCATTGGGAAAACAAATTATATTGAATGCAGATTAATAACAGGAAACAAGTATACATTTAAGACTACATATAATAGTAACTTTTAAGGTTTGAGAAACACCCATATGTTACAGTGTCTGGTTACAGTGTTACAGAATAGGGTTCCTATTCTGATTAGCACATTATTTCTGTTTTTATAATTTAAAATTTTTCTTGTAGATAAAAGATACATAATTTGTTTGATACATATACTTTTATAGTACAAGATTTTATGTATCACTGAATAGTATTACACCCATAATGGCAGACAAAAGCAAATGCTACAGACAGACATACTTCAATTACAGAACCTGCCCTTCAGTCTGCCAAACTGCTGCATGCTCTCCCTCAAGGAGGAGAGGCCCCTAAACTTTCAAGCAGCCGATGCACCCCGGGGCCAGCCACATGCCTAAATTCAGCACCCGAGAAACAACCCCTCAGTGCCCCATCAAGACATGCCATTGGCTTGCCCAACAGCCTTGCACTTGAAGTCAGAGCCTGAGAAACAGCCCCATGGGTCACTCCCAGCAGAAATGCCCCAGACCAGTCAAGCAATTATGTGCTTCTGACCAGGCCTAAAAAACAGCCCCTGTGGGCCACCCCTAGCAAACATGTTCTCATCCAACCTAGCAGCTATGTGTCCACATCCTAGCTCTAGGAAGCAGCTACAAAGGATTGCCCCTGTCATACACATTCTCAGACTGACTGAATAGGCTTGCACTCAGGCTGCCTGAGCAGCCTTGCCCTGGGCCTAAGAAACAAACAGCCCCGTAGGCTGCCACCAGCAGACAAACCCCAAGGCCAGCCAGCCAGCTGCCTGCACATGTCTCTGGCCTTAGAAATAGTGCCATGGGCCACCCCAGCAGAAATGCATCCAGGTCAACTGAGAAGCTGTGAGACCTCACCCCAGGCCTGGGAAACAGCCCCATGAGCTACCTTTGGCAGACACGCACTCAGTCTAGCTAACTAGCCATGTGCCCACATCCTAGACCTGATAAATAGCCCCACGGCTACCCAAGCTAGATGAGCAGTCATGCACTCAGGTCCCACGCCTAAGAAACAATCTTCTGGGCTGTTGTACCAGACACATCCCCAGGGCAGCTGAGCAACCACATGCCTTGCTCCTGGGCAAAATAGCAGCCCTGTGGTTCAGGGCCAGACTCCAAATTGACCAGGCCTTAAATTAGCCAACCCAGTTTGTCCACGCATGTACCTCTGACTTGAGAAACAGCCCTGAGTCTACTCTCCCTAGCAAAGCTGCACCAGTGCCTTCTCAAACTCTCTCAGCCTAGGCCATTAAGACACAAACATCAGTAGTATAAATGACAGCTAAGAAAACTACACAGAGACTATGCTACCTAAAATCAAAGCCAATACACTCTGCCAAGCCAGTACCCTAAGACCCATTTATACGAATAAGTCTTTACCTATGAAACCTGTTCTATAAAATTGGAAGAGGTAACTTTTCTGCCAGATGCATGGAAATCAACATGGGGACAATATGAAGCAAGAAAAAGCAAGAAAATATGACATTTCCAATGGAAAACAATAATTCTTCAGTAATAGACCCCAATTATATAGAAATATATTAAATACCAGAAAAAATTCAAAATAATAAGGTTAAGCAAACTCAGTGGGATACAAGAAAATACAGATAGACAGTTCAATGAAATCAGGAAAACAATTCATAATTTGAATGAGAAATTCAACAAAGAGATAGATACCAAAAAAAGAGCCAAACATAAGTCCTAGAGCTGAAGAATTCAATGAAAGAATTAAAAAAATACAATCAGGAGCTTGAAGAACAGCAGACTAGACCAAGCAGAAGGAAGAATTTCTGAACTTGTAGACAGATCTTTTGAAATAACAGAGGCAGACAAAAATAAAAAAAAAAGAATGAAGAAAGTCTACAGGATTTATGGGACACCATTAAGTAAATAAATATTTGCACTTCATGTTATGGACAGTCTAAAAGGAAAAGAGGAGGAAGAAAGGTATAGAAAACATGTAATGAAATAGAATAGAAGCTGAAAACTTCCCATATCTTGGAAGAGAGATAGACATGCAGGTTCAGGAAGCTCAAAGAACCCCAATTAGAATCAACCTAAATAGATTCTCTCCAAGACATAGTCAATTTACTAGAAGTCAAAGACAAAGAAAGGCCGGACTCGGTGGCTCAGCCTGTAATCCCGCGCCTTTGGGAGGCTGAGGTGAGTGGATTGCCTGAGCCCGTGGGTTCGAGACCCTGCTGGGCAACTTGGCGAGACCTCATCTCTACAATAAATCAAAATGAGCCGGGCGTGGTAGCGCGCACCTGTAGTTCCAGCTACTTGGAAGGCTGAGGCGGAAGGATCACCAGAGCCCCGCAGGTCAAGGCTGCGGTGGCTGGGAGCGGCCACTGCACTCCAGTCTGGGTAACAGAGTGAGACTCCAACTCAAAAAAAAAAAAAAAGACAAAGAAAGATTTCAAAAAGCAACAAGAGAAAAACATTAAACTAAACTTACGTTCCAGGAGACAATGGGATAATATATTCATATAGTAAAGGAAAAAAACTGAACTATCAGCCAATAATATTATGCCAAGCACATGACAGAAATAAATAGATAAATAATCAGTCAAGCAATCTTTAGACTGTTCTTACACAAAATGCTCAAGGTAGTCTGACATCTGAAAATGAAAAGATGATAACTATCATCATGAAAATATGTGAAACTAAAGCTCACTGATACAGCTCAAAAAAGAAAGATAAATGAGTAAGCCCTTATCAGTGTAGAAAACCACCAACTGCAAAAATAAACAATAAGAAAATAAGTAAGGAACAAGGAATATACAAAACATCCAGAAAACTATGAAAAGACAGGAGCACGTCCTCCCCTATCAATAGTAACCTTGAATGTAAAGGGTTTAAATTATTTAAAAGATATAAACTGACTTTATAGTAGAAGGAAAAATTAGTGGAAGGAAAGAAATAATGAAGATCTGCACCAAAATAAACAAAATTGAGACCAAAAAATATGAAAGCCTAGCAAAGCAAAAAGATGGTTTTTTGAAAAGGTAAATCATCAAACCTAACTAAGGAAAAAAGAAGACCCAAATAAAATCAGAAACAAAAAAAGAAACATCACAGTGGGTATCACAGAAATACAAGGAATCATTTGAGATTACTATGAATACCTGTTTGCCAATCAGTTTTTTTAAAAACTAGAGGAAACAGATAAATTATTCAACACTTACAACCTACCAAGATTGAAGCAAGAAGAAATGGAAAACCTGAATAAACCTGTAACAAGTAGAAGATTGAATCAGTCATAAAATGTCTTCCAACAAACAAAAGTCCAGGGTCAGATGACTTCACCACTAAATTTGATCAAACCTTTAAAAAGAATCAATATCAATTATTCTCAAACTATTCTAAAAATTAAAATTAAGGGAGTTCTCTCTAATTCGTTCTGTGAGGCCAACATAGCTTTGATACCAAAACCAGACAAGGATACAACAAAAACAGAAAACCGAAGCCCAGTGTCCATGATGAATACAGGTGCAAAAATCCTTAGCAAAATACTAGCAAACCAAATCTAACAATATGCTAGGGTAGTTCAACACGTGCAAATTAGTAAATGTCATATATCACATCAGCAGAATAAAGAATAAAAACCATATGATCATCTCAATAAATGAAGAGAAAGCATTTAATAAAATTCAACATCCCTTCATGATACAAATTCTCAATTAATTAGGTATAGAAGGAAAGTACTTCAGCATAAGGGCCATATATGACAAACTCATAACTAACATACTGAATGGGAAAAGCCGAAAGCTTTTCATGTAAGAACTGGAACAAGACAAGGATGCCGACTTTCACCACTGTTATTCAGCATAGTACTGGAAGTCCTAACCAGAGCAACTAGGCAACAGAAAGAAATAAAAGGGCAGCCAAATTGGAAAGGAGGATGTCAAATTGTCCCTGTTTGCATACTATATGATCTTATTACATAGAAAAACATAAAGACTCTAGAAAAAATCCTTTAGAACTGAAAATTCAGTAAAGTTGCAGTATATAAATCAATACACCAAACATACCAAAAATCAGTAATGTTTTATACAAGAAACTAGCTGAAAAATCATGAAAGGAATTTCATTTGTAATAGCTACACCGAAAAGCTATGATTAAAGTTAACCACAGAGGAAAAAGAGATCTACAAGGAAAACTGTAAAGCACTGATGAAAGAAATTGAAGAGAACACAAACAAATGGAAAAGACATTTCATGCTTATAAATCAGAAGAATTAATGTTAAAAATGACCATACTACTTAGAGCAATCTGAAGATTCGATGTAATTCTTATCAAAATACCAATGACATTCCTCACAGAAATAGAAAAAATAATTGCAAAATTTGTATAGAGCCATAAAAAAGCCTGAACAGCCAAAGCGGTTCTGAGCAAAAAGAGCAAAAATGGAGACATTTCAGTAGCAGACTTCAAAATAAATCACAAAACTGTAGTAAACAAAACAGCATGGTAATGGCCTGAAAACACATACATAAACCAGTGGAACAAATAGAGAACCTAGAAATGAATCCATGTATCTACAGCCAAATGATATTTGATAAAGGTGCCAAGAACACTCATTGGGGGAAAGGAAGAACAGCCTTTTTAATAAATGATGCTGTGAAAACTGGATATTCATATGCTGAAGAATAAAACTAAATTGCCGCCTCTCACTCTGTACAAAAATCAACATAAAATGAATCAAAGACCTAATGTAAGACCTGAAACTGTGAAACTATGAAAGGGGAAACACTTTAGGACTTTTGTCTAGGAAAAGATTTTATGAATAAGACTTGAGAGGCACAGGCAACAAGCAA